ATATTTATTTATTGAATCATGTAAAAATAACAATATTAAACCCATTAGATATTAACATAAAGTATTTTTCATGAAAAAGCCCTATCCCTTTTTAAACAAAAAAATAATGAGTGACATTGTTTAACATTTTTGCAAATATCTTCAATATCTGCAAATAATTTTGAATTCACAGATCCTTGAGAGGCTCTTGGGGGACCCCTAGGGGACCTCAGACCGCACTTTAAGAAACACTGGTCTAGAATGTAATTAACTGTTTAAAAAAAGAATTATAGTGACGTATAAAAATATTATTTTTCTACTGTATTGCAGAAAAACAGAGATATTTCATTGTATCATCACATTGCTTTCTTTAGTTTCATGTTAAAGTTTTGTTTTTTTAGTTTGAATTATTTCAGTCTTTTTATGCATATACCTTTTCCAAATCGTTAGCAATGGAATTAATACATTTTGTTTCCAATTGCTTTCACTAGTATTTTTCAAAAATTAAATATAAATTATAGTACAGAAATGTGTGGCTTGCCAACCATGGGTTTATGGTTTAGAATGTTCTGTAAACACACCCGATTCAATAAACCTTGGATCTTAGCTTTGCTTGTTTAATACGTTTCTTATGCAAAGCAAATAGCAACCTTCTCTTTACAAACAGGTTTGCAGCACACTTTCTCCTTCTTTCCATCTTTTTCTGTTTGAGATGCTTTAATTTGGATTACTGCACTGAAGAGGGAGCCTACGCAGCCCCTTCCAACCGTAATATTTCTTCTCCCTACCCTCCTTCCATTCTAAGGTACAGAAAAAGCATATAATACTTTAGCACTCTAATCATCAAGTGTAAACAGCCTCGCAGTGCTACCTCTGCTGTTCTAACTCAGTGGAACAACTTGGAGGTCTTGAGGAGGGGAGAAGAAATAGATTTTCTGGGCTGTATATTCCTTGATCCTCTGGCACTGCACATAAATCACAGAAAGAGGTGGAGACTGCAGAATTCAATTTCCTGAGCAATTCAGGTTTCACTGAAGAGAGAAATTCTACTTCCTGGCTCTCACAGCTTCAAAGGCAAACTTGAAAAAGCACCCAACCCACTCTGAGGTCTCAGAAGCTGACAGCAACAACTGGACTAGACAAGACAGTTTTGCCCCATGGTCGTGTGATGCACAGGAGCAGTGAACAAGCCACTCTTTAGGGAGGCTTGTTCACTGCTGTTCATTTGTCACAGAAAAAAACTGTTAGCTTCTGAGCAATTTCTATAATTCACCAGAAAATTATTTAAAGGTCACATCTCTCCTTACTAAGCAACAGTAGTATGAAGATGGCATGCTTATTCTCTCCATCCCTTCACTGAAGTATGCTACCTCAGCCTCTTCTCCAACACAACAGAAGAGCCCCAGATATAATTTCAACTCTCACAATATCCAAGAATCATGGGAGTTGAAGTCCCACAAACCCGGAGGTTGGCATGTTGGGAGAAGCCTCCACCTATAGCTTTGACACTGATCTGTGCCTTGCTACAACGTGCAGTTGCCGAAGAAAGTGGCATGGATGCCTCAGCTCACTTACTCTTCACAGGGGGCTTCCTCGGGTCGTAGGTAACTGATGAAGCGCTGCCCAAGGATGGACCTGAGTGGCCGCTGCTAGTACTGGGCCTGTCATAGGACTGTTCCTCTTCTGTGTGAACGCTACTTTTAGCTGTTGTGAAGAACACTGGTTTTATTCTGAGGAAAGAGAAGATGGTGAACGGTAAGGCTAGGACCTCTCCAGGGCAGACTCCAGAAACGTGCTCGCCCCGGGGAACCGAGGCAATTTCTGCAGCAGAGCCAGAGCTAACAGCTGGACTGTAATAGGCCCAGAAAATGAGCGTCATCCAGGAACAGTCAAAGTTGCTGGAAATGAACTACTCCTCTTCACTCAAGCACCAGGAAGTGGATCTGGAAAAATCAATTTTATTTTTTCCCCCATTGTCTGGGACCCAGTTACTCTTTCTTAGCTCACCGCCTCTTTTTAAAAGGTTGATAAACACTACCTTCTCTCAAAGAGAGTTATTTCATTACAATCGTAGGAGGATCCACAGTTGCTATACTAAAGCAGTGCTGGAAGCACAGGTGATACCTGGGGGGGTACACAGGTGTCTGATACAAGCCATATCGTATCACCCATGACGCTGCATCTCCTCCCAAAATGGATGCCGAAAGGCAGGTAAACATAGCCTCCAATATTCCTTTTCTTCGCAGCTTGTCCCTGCTCCTCCGCCCGTCAAAAAGAAGACAAAGTGAAAGCTGTCATATAAAACTTACTTGATCTTCTCTGGGACTGCTGCTCCTCCAGTCCCAAATTTTTCTTGTCTTCTCCGCACTTCCCGGGGTGGCTTGACTGTTGAGTTGACAAAAGCCATCTTAGCTACTCTGCCTAAAAGATGAGCAAAACCAAGAGAGGTCAGCCCAGAAAGTTTGAAAGGAAGACCCTTCTGATAACTGGTAGAGGAGGATGGCTAAAAAAGATCTCTCTTCTTTGGTGGAAATCCTCTTCTTCCCCATCTCTCCTAAGACATGGTGATGCCTACGATCGCTTTTGTTTCTAGCATGCAGACTTTTACAGGCTAGTTTCAGCAAAAGAGCACATCAAGTCAGACCCGCAATCTCATAAATAGGTATCACTATTCACTGGAACCACTACCATCCTCAGAATTAAAGGTACAGGGAACTCTATCCTACTTGGAATGTGCCACCTTGATAAGCCAGGTAGGGCTGCCAATTTCTCAAACGGCCACAGAGCTATTCTCTATGAGCTGATCTCTAGCAGCCCATCCTAGACCTGGCACCTTCTAGATGTGCAGGACTTCAGCTCTCTTCATTCCAAGCCAGTGCAGCCAAAGGAATGATGGGAGTCAACATCCAACATGCATGGAGGGGGCTAGAATGGGGAACGGTGATGTACAGAGATGAGCAGCAGGCAATGTTTCAGCATGAAAAACATCTTATTTTAAACAGGCCAGAACAGGCCAGACCAATTTTGAACCAGCAACTAGCAACTTTAAAGGCCATCACTGAAAGGATCTATCTGTTAGAATTGAATCAAGATAATTTGAATTTCACCTACAAGAAGACAAAGTGAAAGCTGTCATATAAAACTTACTTGATCTTCTCTGGGACTGCTGCTCCTCCAGTCCCAAATTTTAGCAGAGGCTTTCTAGAGTCATGGCTTTTTAAGACTTCAGTAGCATGTGGAATCTTTGTAAGAGCCAGTAATTCTGCATTATTTATCCTGTCCTGGTGCCGTGACACTCAAATGTTACAGGGGAAGCTGTTCCCTTCACATTATTTCTAGAGAAAGCCCTAAATTTCCACCTTCCAAATAACTGCACAAGGACTTAGAAAAGAAAGAAAGAAAAAGCCATTTTTCCCACCACCTTTCAGATTTAAAAATGAGCTGCTTTTTTTTCACCCCGTGTTATCTCAGCCCAGCACTCTACCTTTGGGTTTATTGGCGTGAGCTGAACGGATGTTTTGTGTTAGCATGAGAAGTCGCTGCTCTCGAGCGTCATGCAGACGTAAGTACATTTCCCTCCAGGACTCAAACTCATCTGGCTTCTCTTTCTTGAAATCACGCTGGCAATGATTGTGCCACAACTGATCTGTGTCTTCAATTAAAACCTAGAGGCCAAGAGCAAAGGAAAAATGAGCCTTAGGTTGGGGTACCTCAGAAAGGGTAAACAAAGAATTATTCCTCTGGCATACAAGTTCAAAACCTTTATGAGCTAAGATCTAGTTGTCCAAGGCACAATTTGACAATTGGAAGGAATACTCTCAGATTTAAAAAAAACCAGGGAAATAGTACAAAACCCCAAGTTTCTAATCCATATGTATACATAAGGAAGAACTTGCTCCTACCTTGATGTTTTGGAAGAGGAGGAAAACTGCCCTTTTTAAGAGAGCTTTTAGGCTCATTTAGATGGCAGTTATTTATAGTTTTTAACTGTTTAATTTATTATTGATTGGGGATGGATTTTATGAAGTTCTTGTTTTATCACATCTGTTGTAAGCCGCCTAAAATCAGAAGAGTAGGTGTCATATTGATTTTGGTAAATGAATGAATGAATAAATAAATAAATGAACTGGAAAATATCGCCGCACTTTTCCATTCTTCATTTTCCCAACAGTCGATCCATACACTTTTCAAAAATATTCTCAAACATACAATGACCTGGAATATCGAGCAAGAGCAACAGTCACTTAAAAGGCACACGGTCCCAGGTTCGAATGTTGCCACTGCCTTGACCTCAGTACTGACTGCAGCCATTCTTTTCAGCAACCCGAACACAACATGGGGGAGATGGGTTAGGTTACTTAATACGTTACCTTTTTGATAGGACTGCTGAATAGGATTCAGCTAGAGAGTTCATACGGAAATGGACCCCCCCCTTTTTTTTTTTGGCAAGAAATAAAAACCTTTTCTTTTAGGGCTATTCACTGAAGGGATATAGAACCAATTTTGTCAGCAAGGACCACTTTGGAAAAACAGCACTTTCTACCCTCTACGCTCTTTGGACTGGCGATAAAGGAAGCAACGTGAAGGCTTACAGAATCGCCCTCGGGGTGCACCAGAGAGCCTCCTTGGCTCTTCTTAAGAGACTTCTTTTATCACCTGCCCCCAAGTCATCTTGGTGCCATTCATCCTCATGGGGTTTAAGAAAATTAAGGGGTTACTTCATAGAGGCTTCCCATCTCTAAAGTCACTCTATCTCACTTGATCTTTATTTATACCCCAGAGGAATACTTAAGGAGAGCAACAGCTGGTGGCAAACAGGTGGCAACTTCACCAAGGTCCAATTTGATTCCCTCTGCCGAATGTGCTTGGAAAGCATACAGGGCTACTAAGAGCAGGCTTTTAAGTTACTCATTACTATTATCCTTTATGTGAGAGGCTGCCACAGAAGGAAACCTGCCAATTACCCTTTTAGCTAGTGGCTGGTCCAGACATTTACGGAGGGTGGGGACGCTGCAATGGCTTGTGCTTGCAATGCAACCCCTGCCCCCCCAACCCCAAATGCCAATTGGTCATTTAGTAGTACTGGTAACATGTAGTGCCAAGGACTTCAGAGACATTCATTCACCTTGCAGGACAGGTCAAAATGATTTTACCTGCATAGAAACAAACAGCTTCTGAAAGGCACTGCTTTTTCAAAAAGCTTCATTTTCTATGGCTGAGGATCTTCCCCATTATCTAACCACAGTGCTGTTGTTTTACTACCATCTCTTCTTATAAGAGATTGTTATGGGAGGGCATGTCTAATTATATAATGAACATTTATATTTATTATACGTTTAAGTATAATGTCCTTCAATTATCTTTCTCCTTTACATTTTCTTTTTTTGCACATTTATGTGATCTGAAGAGAAACCAGAGTATTTTTCTTAAATATACTGTTCCACAAATGGTATTGATTTTATGATTCCAGCTGTTTTTGTGTTACATCAATAGGGAGAAAGCACTGTAGTAAGTAAAATTTAGCCACTGTTCTTGACAGTGGTGCTGCAAATTGGAGCAATGTCTAATGTTAAGTCCTGAAGCAGAGGTAAGCAGAATCCTTGAAGACTAAATCACACTTATTTGAACCACTTATTGGTCTTGGTGCAGATGGTGAAGAATCATCGGTGATCAATACACCCGGTTCCCCATAGCCTCCCATCTAATAGCACTCACGTGATTGCACTCCTCAATGCGGTACAACTGCTCTGGAGTACAGCGTTCCAAGACAGGCTCGAGCACGGAATATGGGACACCACCCACTTCGTAGATTGCTGTAAGAAAAGAACAGACAGATCTTTCTCCATTTGCAAGGCACATTCTCCAAGTGGGAAACAGGTATTTGGTTTTACAGTACAGGACAGGGTAGCATTTTTTGAAAACCAAGAGGCATGGAATCAGCTAAGTAAGAATAGAAGGAGCAGCATACTTTCCAGGTAACAGAGAGAACCATGATCTTCATATAATGTCATGGGTGCAAAATATAAAACCTAAATATTAACAGATGTCCAAATCAATTGTCCCCAATCAGCTAGAGAGAAGGCAAGGAGAGACAGTGTGGCCAATCGCTTTAGGACTAAATGGCGATAATAAGCCACACAATGGATGGCTCACATAGTCTGTTTCACCCATTTGCTTAACCATGGTTTCCTGAAGGATTCATGATTGGCTGGAGTCACACAAAACATTAAATCAAAGCCATAAAAATCACCACAGGGCTTGGTACAATGGATGAGCCCAGGCTGTGAAATGGGAGAGGTTTGTTAGATCTGTTCAGACAGCAGGAGGAACGTGTGTCAGAAACATGGGGTGCAATCACCCACTCAGCGAAGCTGGGAAAGGTCACGGAAGAGACATCTAAGACAGACACAACAATAGATTCCGATGGTGATAAATGAAATAAGCCAAAGAGATTTGGGGGAGGGGGAAAGCGGAAGAGGAAAGCCCCCCCCCCCCAATAGTTCCTATTTCTACTTGGAAGCTCCTCTTTCACGGGATCATAATAGAGATGAAATAAGAGGAAAAAATCTAGGGTAAAAACACAGCCATAACTTCTGCAAGTAAAATTAAATCTGCCATGATCATATTCAGCAGACACCAAGGTTGGATTTGGCTTAATGCTCTGGATAAGCTTTGCCACTGTGATTTTATAAATCATAGTTTGTGACTTGGCACAATACATAAACCCAGCCAGGTAGGGCAACTGCTGTATTGTAGCCTAATCACAGTGAAAGCTACATATGTTTGTTAAGCTTTGAAAGCTTTGTTAACCCCCGCCCCCAGGCCCACCGGTTATTGATTAGGAGTTATTATTCTCAGCCCCATTTCTGAGTACTGACTTTGTCCTTACTATTAGAGATTAGACTAAATCTTGTGCTATTTCAAGAACTGGCTTCTCCTGGGGCAAGTGGATTTTAGGGCAAATCTCTGTAGCGGTTGGGTTCCCACACTGTGCTAAGCTAAACATGTTATGTTGATCTCTGGATGGGCCACTGAGTGAACATAATAGTTGTGGATTGATAAGCTAGGTTTTAAAGTTTCATATATTGCAGAAAGCCAGCGAGTAACATTTATTCAACAGATCTGTTGGAATGACAGTGGCAGGGATCACGCCAAGTCTGCAAGCTAAGAGTGAACTGGCCTCATTACGGGTAATGCTCCCTAGCAGCTAAGATGAAGAACCTTCTATCTGCATCACACATATACTCAGCCATGTTTGTTAGCTTAAGTTTTCCCAAATGGAAAGATGATCTGCACTGCTGCTCTTGGTAGGGTTCTTGCTTTCTTACAAAACTAAGAGACATTTTACTTAATGCCACTTCTCTTTCAGTAGATCCACTGAGAGTGTAGTTTATTTATTCAGCTCCACTGTTTCTGCTAACAAAACTATACACAAACCACAGCTTTACACAACGTGTGAATGAAATCCTTGTAAAGGCCAAAGAGATCTTTCCTAAGCCCAGCATTGCCTTGCAAAGGTAATGCACAGGTAGTCACAAGACAGAAGTGTTGGTGGGAAGAGACAGCTTCATTCTTTCTCTTTTCATCAGAAGCTCTTGCCTTAATTGCGCCTTCCCTGCCTCCTCCTCAGTTTCAGCCAAGGTCAGAAATTAACATGTTGGAATAGATAAGGAGTTTTGAAAGAGAACAAGTCAGGTGGATGGAGGAGCAATGAGCTGAGCAGCCCTCTAATGCAAACATTTGCTCTGCGTGGCAGATGTATTCAACACAGGGAGTCAAAAGCTGCATGCTGTCCCAGTTAAGTCCCCTGTCAAGCTATGCAGCCAACAGGACAACCAGCAGAACTCACAGTCAATATTATTGCTGAGGACCCGGATGCACTGCTCGTGAAGAGTCATCATCTTTGGAAGGTAAGCGGTTTTGGCACCCGAGTACACCTGCATCTTGGAATTCAGCCGACGTCCCGTGAAACCAGCCTCATCTTCTTCAGTTGGGGAGGAGAGTGCTGCAAGGCCACAGGAAGATAAAGCAGAGAAAAGACTCACTACCAACCAGGGTATCCAGCACAGAGGTCACAGAGGACCTGAAACATTGCTTGGAGGTCATGTCCACTGAGCTTCCCTATCTACAGCCTCATGGGAATGGCTAGGTGAGTCTTCCATCTCCAACAGTGGCCCACCAGATGATCCTGGAAAATTCCCAGTAGTTGCACTGGATACCTAGCACTTTACTGCTACCAGACATGCCTTTTATATAGCAAGTTTACACACATGCACACCCATGGCTTAGTTTGCCCAGGCCTTTTCACCGAAAACCATCACTTCCAATTCAGGGGAATAAATCCAGCTTGGGGACAGTGAACATATGCTATCTTGTGCTTTGAAAAGAAGATTTATTAGTGCTTTTAATGTGATAAAGATGATTCCTCACTGCATAAAGAAAATCTTCATGATCAAACGACTAAGATGCAGTGGGCTTGGAGGCAAAGCCCAAATCATATTCCTTCTTATCAGTTACTCAGAAAGCATCAGAGAAACTATCAACCAGCAACTGAACTATTCAATTCAGCTATTTCCTTGAATCCAAATTGGCATCTATTCTTATTATAATTATATTTATATATCAATCTTCCTCCTCCTTCCCAGGAGTAATGAGGTCTATACAAGTGAATAAAAGACAATGAAAAATTCAAAAGTTGTACCAGATTTTTGTCTGTATCACCTAACCTGCCCTCGCCCACATTTAGAAACAGTAAAAGAGACTCTCAAGTAGATTCTGCCCCAACATTACCTTTCCTCTTTGGTTGGGTGAGTGAGATCGATTCAAGCGAAGGAAGAGGGCGGTAATTTGCCTGGATTGGGGGCAAGGGGATATCAGGGAGCATCGGCACCACATCAATGAGCATCTGGAGGGGAGAAACCCCATGTTCAGTTAAGACAGCTTTGCAAAGCAGGTCCACTAAAGACATTCTAGCTCCCAAAATTGTGTCCCAGCCTCCTTTCTACACACAGCCCTGTCCCTTGTTTGTGGCACCCTGGATGGCCTAAAAGAAAAAAAAGGAGTGGAGGAAGAGACTCTTTCCATGAGCGCTGTGCATGAAAAACAACCCCTGGAACCAAATAGACTCATTAAAAAAGTTTTCACTGAACATTTTGAGTAGGCTGTACTTCAATGGAGGCAAACTCAAAACACGCTGAGTATTTTATCACTGGGAATGATGGGGGTTGAAAAAACAATCCCTGTGCCCTCTCATCTTCTGCCTAGTACTGCAAAAGTAGGGGGAGTGGTTCTCAATGCTGAGTGCTGCCCTTCAACCAATTTATAGAAAAATTGGTCTAGGGAATAATTTTAAAACTTTATTTTAAATATGTATACATTCCTATCACAAACAATGGAAATGTGTAGCTTAATATTTCTCTGCTGGGTATTTTTGATTACAGCCTGGCTGGTTTGCAAAAATGTCAGCCAGTTCTGAACTCAACAAAAAGGTAAAAGCAAATGATTCATTTCAATACAGCTCATATCAATACCATAGCAGTAATAATATACTTCTCTGCTTGTTGGTTTGGGGCTTCTCCCTAATGCAACTTCTTGAACAGTACAAAGAATTTTTTTTTTTTTTGGTGCCTACAACTTCCAGTAAGATTGCGCAATGCTGCTCACTGTCTAGAAAAGTTGTTGGCTTCTGGGTTAATTTAGTCTTGCTTCCAGATTAGCATTTGGAGAATAGAACAACCCACAAAAATCTGGAATACAGGTAGTCCCTGGATTAAGAATGCCCAGGTTACAGACAACCCATAGTTAAGAATAGAGCCTACTGTAGCAAAATTAGAGTTAAATACACAATGATTTGAGTTACATACACAATGGTTTGAGTTCATTACACAATACTACTTTATACAATATTATACAATAATACTCATCTGGCTTACATTCAAATTCGACTTAAGGACAGACCTTGGAAATGGAATTCATTCTTAAACCTGTACCCATTTTCAACTTTGGGTCTCCAGACTTTGTCAGACTACAACCGTCACTCAGAATAAATCCCACTGGCCTTAATGGATGGGACAATAGGACGGAGTCCAAGTGTATCTGGAAATCCTGATCTTTCATCAAGTTAGGCACTAAGCGAGAGACAATTCAGATGTGTGCTTTGGAGTCCTTGGGGTTCTCTGAGCTTGGTTGTTTCCTTGCAAACGTTTCGTTACCCAGCCAGGTAACATCTTCAGTGCTAGAATGGAATGGGATTTGCTCTCTGTTTATATACTGCGGCATGCCCTGCCAGTGTTGGTGGGGGTGGGGGTTTGTTTTATTTTTTTCTCTCTGGTTGTTCCTTGATTAGGGTATTGTTCACTGCTTGATTGTAAGTCTGGTGGTAATCT